AAAAAAATGCAAGCAGTCTCACTGATCCAAAGATCAGCTCTTCTTGAACAGCTTTCGCAGGTCTTCAAACAAACTTCCTACAAAGTGTTTACAAAGTTTTGGATCTTTACAAAAATTTGACAAAGTTTGGGAATTACATTGTTTTACCGAGTTTTTGCATTGCAAAGCTTTAACAAAGTCTACAAAGTTTAAACATAGAAATAACAAACTTCACAAAGTTTTGGAAACTTACAGTACATTGAATTTTACAAAACTTTGGAACTACGAAGTTTTTACAAAGTATTGAACCTTTAGATATCTGAACAAAGCTTTGGACATTTATCAAGCTTTGAACAAGTTTTGGAATTTTACAAAGTTGTTACCAAGTTATTGAGTTTGAAAGTTTTTACAAAGCTTTTACAAAAGTTTTTGATGCTTACAAACTTTCTACAAAGTTTCGTGTTTTTTTCAATCTGTGTCAAAACTTTGTAAGAACTTTGTAAACTTTGTAAATACTGAAACACTTTAAACTTCGTAAACCTTTGTAAACACTTTGTACACTTTGTAAAACTGTGTAAAAAACTGCGAAAACTTTGTGTAAAAAATTGTAAAATGCGAAAACTTTGTCAAAACTTTGTAAACACTTGTAAACTTTGTCAAAACTTTGTCAACTTTGTCAAAAAGTTTGTAAACATTGCAAACTTTGTACACTTTGTACTAACATTGTGTAAACTTTGTAAACAACTTTTAGATGCTGTATGCCTTCGTAAAACTCTGTTTAAAAAAAGACCGTTATAAACTTCGTAGCACTTTGCAAACTTTGTAAAACGTTGTTAAACTTCGTAAACTTTGTCAAAGCATTGTAAACATTTTGAAAGACCTTGTGAACGTTGTGAAACTTTGTAAACTTTGAGCACTTTGTAAATTTCCTAAAAACTTTGTACAAATTGTGAAACTGTACAAACTTTGTAAAAACTTCGTAAAATGTAGAAAGAAACTTTGTAAACTTTGCAAATAAAAAACTATCAAAACTTTGTAATCGTGGTCAAAACTTTGTAAACTTTGTCGAAACTCTGTAGACTTTGCAAAACTTCGTAAACTTGGCAAAATCTTTGTGAACTTTCCAAAATCTTCAAAACTTTGTAAACTTTGTAAAAACTTTGTAAATTTGTGTAACAAAAGGCAAATGTCGCAATCTTTGTCAGAACGTTGTAAACTTTGTAAAAACTTTGTAAACTTTGTAAAAACTGTGTAAACTATGTAAACTTTGTAAAAACTTTGTAAAACTTTGTAAAGTTCTGTGAAAGAAGTGTTTTTGCACGATTTTTTGCTTAAAAAGAAGTGTTTTTCATGTCATTTGTTGTAAACATAAGTGTTTTTCACCAGCCATTTGTAAACTTTGTAAAAACTTTGCAAATTTGAAAAACTTTTGTAAACTTTGTAAAAACTTTGTAAAAACCTTGTAAACTGTGTAAAAACTTTGTAAACTTTGTAAAAACTTTTTAACTTTGTAAAAACTTTGTAAACTTGAAAAAGCTGTTGTAAACTTTGTAAAAACTTTGTACAACTTTGTAAACTTTGTAAAAACTTGAAAACTTTGTAAACACTTTGTGAGACTTTGTAGACTCTGTAAAAATTGAATAACTGTGTAAATTCCGAACTTTGCAAGAACTTTGTCAAATTCCAAAGCTTTGTAAAATCGTTGTAAACTTTCAATACTGTGCAAAAACTGTGTAAACTGTATAAACTTTGCAAATTTTGTGAAAGCTTTGTAAACTATGTAAATACTGTGTAAAGTTTGCAAATGTTTGTACACTTTGTAAAAACTCCATCTAAAATTGTAAAATTTGCAATCTTTGTAAAAATTTTATAAACTTTGCACAAGCTTTGTAAACTTTCAATACTTTGCAAAACTGTGTAAACTTTGTAAAAACTTTGTCAACATTGCAGCAACATTGTAAAACTTTCAATACGTCTTTAATTGATGTTTTAATGGTAAAACCTTTGTAAACTGGGTAAACTTTGGAAATTGTTCAAAACTTTGTAAACTGTGTTAAAATATTGTAAACTTTGTAAAACTTTGTAAACTTGGTAAACGGTTGTAAAACTTTGCAAACTTCATAAAATCTGTGTAAAACTTTGTAAACTTTGTACCAACTTTGAAAGCTTTGTAAAAACGTAGTGAACTTGGTATAAACTTGGTAAACTTTGTCAACACTTTGTAGACTTTGTAAAACATTTTTAAACTTTGTCAAACTTTGTAAGCTTTGTCAACCTCTAAACTTGTAAAACTTTGTAAGAACTTGGTAAAACTTTATTAAGACGTTGTAAAATTCGCAAACTTTGTAAAAAGGTTTACAAACCTTTTACGAGGTTTTGGAGTTCTTCAAATTATTCTTCAAAGTTGGAGCAACGTTTTACACAGTTTTTAGAACGTTTACAAAGTTTTTTATTTTTACAAAGTTATACAAAGTTTACAAAACTTTCACAATGTCTTAAGAATTTGTACAAAGTTTGCAACTTTTGCAAAGAGTTGACAGAGTTGTTGAAATACAAGCAAACTTACAAAGGTTTACAACGTCTACAAAGCTTTTACCATGGCCGTTCACTCACCACTCACGAGACAAACAAACCTATGAAATAGTCCTTTGGGTCTCGTATGTTGCCACTAACAACGCAACAAAAACAAGACGTGTTTTTTTATACCCTCTCTTAGTTCTGAACAACCAATTCTTCAGAGGTCCGCAAGGGTCAAAAACACTTCTTCTGCGCTAATTCCCCCGAAACAACGAACGACGGTCCCCAAGCAACTTAACAATTTCCAGAGAGAAGCAAAACAAAAAGTATATACAACAAAGAAGTTGACATTTTGATACTTTTGGCGTTGTTCTTGCTCCTTCCTTTTCCTCCAGCTTTATTACCAAACGCTGCGCAAAACGAAGAGCCACAAGCAGAAGCCAAAGAAAGAGAAGAAGACAACGAAGAAGGATAAAAAGAGGAGGAGAAACGAACAAGTTGACATGTTGGTGCTGTTCGGGCTCTTTCCTCTTGCTCTAGCTCTACCACCCAAACGCTGCACAAGACCGAGAACAAAACGACACTGATCAAGGAGACCTACATCACAAAAGCCTGACCTTCATTCTCCTCCTCCCCTTTCCTGTTGCTTCCTCTTCCTGCCTGCTGGCCTGCCATTAAAAAAAAAGAATCCAAGAACTCCAAAATCTGCAGCTCCTCAAACGAAGCCTTTTGCAGGCTGACTCGGAATATCACTGTGTTCCTGGGATGGCGGAACGTGAGGTTACTACCAGCTTCTTGTTACTACTAGTAAGGCACTTGTTACTACTAGCGTGGCACTTGTTACTAATAGCGTGGCACTTGTTACTAATAGCGTGGCACTTGTTACTAATAGCGATGGAGAAGGTAAGGCAGTGGCACGAAGTATCCAATCAACTGCTCCACAGCAGGCCTTCCGGTTCGCGAACAGAAGCTAAACTGAAACTGCTTAGCTCCTAGTAGCGATGCCATGCGATGCCCTTTGTTACTAGCTTCGCACTCCGTTTTCGTACTGAATCAGACTTGAGAGTGCAAAGCTTTTCCCGAAATTTCAACATCTTTCCACTGCGCCCGTCTCAAAGTTCCAAATTCTGTTCGTAAGCTTGTCGACCCAGTCCCACCACATAATAGGACAGTGTGGAGCTGCGCGCCCGTGCAAAAAGCTCTTTCAATTTCTTTCGGTTCTGTCTCCTTCAGTCTCTATCTCAGTTTGTTCCTCAAGCCGTTCGCGTGATAAGCCCATGACCCATGACGATTGGCCACGGGAGAGGCAATGGCCAAGTCTAAAGCGCCACCATAGCGTCCCAAAACTACCGCGAAAAGACCTCACGGCCATCCGTAACAAGAAGCCACTGGGAACAAAGGGCATCGCTACTAGGAGCAAGGACGCTACTAGTAGCTCCTGGCCTTACTACTAGGAAATACTAGGAACAAGGATGGCGGCTATCGCTAGTAACAAGAAGCTACTAGGAGCAAGGCACTAGTAGCAAGCAACGGAAGGAAATCTATCGTCTCAGGCCACGAACCTAGAAGCACCGTGAAGAGAGTGGCGCCTTGCATGTGGCGACAAAATCTTGCACTTTTTGACACATGTTTAACACAAGTTCTCTTTTTGCGACGTTCTTTTTTTCCTTCTTTGATTTCGGTCTCTCCTTTCTTCATTCTCATTCATTCACAAGCACGCTAGAGGCACCCTTGGCCCGAGCCAAGCTCCGAAGGCGATTGGCCAAAGCAGCTGGAAACTGAAGACACACCTGACGACTCCGTGACGACTCCGTACGATGCGGATCCGTTCTCCGATCTGAAAATACAGAGAAAGAAAGCATGCAGCATGCACCTGTTACTAATAGCGAACATTGCTCCTAGTAGTAAGGCCAGGAGCCCCTAGTAGCGTTCTTGTTCCTAGTAGCGATGCACCTGTTACTAGTAGATTCTTGAAGCATGCAAGCTCTTGCAGGACTCTTGCCCCTCTCTCCACGCTAATCACGTTTGCAATGAACATGGGTTAAAACATCTGGCACCAGGAAGTATCGCCTATTGAGTCAGTTCCTCAGTTCCACTCTTTCTGAAGATTTCTGAAGAACTTCAGGGGGGGTTGACCACTTGAGTTGGTTCTTGTTTTTTGGGCGAGCATGTCCAAAGAACCTTGATGTGTCTTGGAAGGCGAATTTGCACCGCTGGACGAAACTCTAAAACCGATTGCATTCTATCCTCCTATGTTGATTGTGAATGCCTGGACCTTTGGTACCACGATGTTAGGCATTGCAACTTATCGGCACCACAAAAGCACAAATTGCAACTCATTGGTTTGGCAAACCAATATATTGCATCAACTCGGGTCCTTTGTCACCTCTACTCCAGCCCCCTTACAAACCCAAAGCACTGCTTCAAAACACGGGAAGGTTTCAACACATATTTGCGCATGTTGCTATTTGCGCAACATGTTTTTCGTCTGGCCGGTATTGGTTTCAACAACGCTTGCAGTTTTCCATGATGTGAGCACCTTCAACCCTGCCACTGAAGGCCGGCCTCCAACTCAAACGTGGTCGAATTTCGAAATCGAAAGATTGTTCCTTGTTACTACTAGCTTCTTGTGACTACTAGTAAGGCACCTGTTACTAGTAGCGATGCACTTGTTACTACTAGCTTCTTGTAAGGCAAACATGTCGATCAACGCTCCTTTGACCTTCCCGCCTGGCCACCCTCGAGAGGAAGCGTTGGTGGTCGTGGAAAGTCTGTGGGCACCTCATCCAGAATAAAATGAAAAAGTAACACGAAACACTTGTTTCTACTAGCTTCTTGTTACTAGTAACGATGCACTTGTTACTAGTAGCGTGGCACTTGTTCCTAATAGCTTCTTGTTACTACTAGTAAGGCACTTGTTACTAGTAGCGATGCACTATATATATATTATATATATTAGGTTGGAGGCCATCGCTAGTAGGTTGGAGGTCATCGTAATTAAAAGAAAGACAACCATTTCCAACAAAGGAGAAAGGAGCGGGTAAAAAAATCATCTCATCCTTGATTGTCCATGGAAAGCGGCTGCCAACATGCATCATGTCTCTCTCTCTCTTTATTTGGTGAAGATCGCTCAATACCCTCTTGCCTGTAGGGCTGGGAGGCTTTGCAGCTGGACGCGCCAATAAGCCAACTCCTTGTCCAAACGCCCCTGGAAACATGCCGCCAAGGTGCAGCTAAAGTCATGGGCATTATTTGAGCTGCACAATATAGAAAAAGGCATATTGTATTTAAAGGGGCCCAAGCAGATTCTTTTGTTAAGCTCTTGTTTCTCTCATCCCAAAGCTGCTTTCCGCCTGGGCCATCCATTGCCGTTGCCAATAGGCGTAGTCTTGGTACTGCATCGACAAAGCCGGTAGTTGCACAGCCTCAAGGGCTGAAAGTAAACCAAGGTCAAGGAGGCCTCCAACCTAGCTACTAGCTTTCTTGTTACTACTAGTAAGGCACTTGTTACTAGTAGCGATGCACTTGTTACTACTAGCTTTCTTGTTACTACTAGCGCTTTGTCAAATCAACAAACATTATCTCAACATATATGTGTACAACACACACGCACACACACATGCACAAAACACAGCCAGCAAAATGTATACAGCGCAGCCGGAAAATCTATCGCAAGAATAAGTGCATCGCTACTAGTAACAAGAAGCACTAGGAACAAGAGGCTACTAGGAGCAAAGGGCATCGCTATTACTAGGAGCAAAGAAGCTATTAGTAGCTCCTGGCATCGCTACTAGTAGCGATCGGACGCTACTAGAATTCGGTTCCGGTGGTCTGTTTTTCAGGAACTCTGTAGTAAACACGAGACCGACTAGAGTGCTCAAAAAGAAACCGACTCGCCGGCACTGCTGAAGGTGGATGTGTGAGAGAGGTGGGAAGCTGCAGGCATGCCTTTAAGCCATCCTCGAGAACATCGCGTTGTCATCAATCATATCTTGAATGAAGTTGGTGGTGGGGTGGGTGGAGCAATCAACACAAAATTGATTACCGTTGTTCCTGCAATACTAACCACCCTGCAGAAGACCTTCTGGCCCACTTCCAAAAGTGGAAGCCTGCCACTTAGTAACATCGTTTTCCTGCCCAAAAATATTGTGATACTGATCGCCTCTCTTCCCTGTCTTCACTCATTTCAGTCACTAGCACAAGGTTTATCAGCTAATGAATTCAACAAATGTCTCCAATTCCATTTCCCATTTCTTCTCCAACCCCACTTCTCGGGAGACATTGGACATTTCACCAAACAACACCAAAACCAATCCGAAATCATCTGAACATGAACAACATTGTAAAAACCGATCCCGCACACTTTCTCAAGCTTCCTAACCGTCCATTTTAAATGTTGTCATTCCTCAACGTCAACAATCCTCACGAAAAGACTTTGTCCTTGCGAGCCCTCTTTATGAAGAGGCCTAGTCTCGTCTTTGTCTATCCTGAAGAGATCTAGCCCTCTTGATCCCTCATCGATGGACCAAATGAATCACTTCTTTTCCGTAAAAATGGGTTTCAAACCTTCCGACCTTGGGGATGTGAAAAAAGAGGCTTCTCAGGTTGCACGAAGCTAAGGTGCAAAGCATAAAGAGTGTGGGGGTTTGACGCTTCTTGCGGTCGCACTAGGCAAAGAAGGACATGGAAGGCTGAGAATTTACGCACATTGTGGAACATGTTGGTGCAAGGGATGCTCGAAACCTAAGAAAACAGAACTGGCGGGCTAGCATTAAAAGGTGCGGAGAAGGGCTCCAAGAATGCGGGAGCAAACAAATTCAAGTGCTCAAACACAAGTTGTGCAGAGTGGCCGACGGTCCTACGGAAGCAAGAAAAAACAGGACCCAAGGCAGCGCTGCCCCCAAGAAACCGTGGATTTATGTGATCGAAACTGAAACATGGAGCCCCAGAGAAACAATGCGAAAACAACAATAAACACAACCACCGCCAAACGACCTTGTTTAATGTTGTCCCGGCTGAACACAGTTTTTCCACAACCCGGGCTGGTAGCAAACACCATCAACAACATTATGCATTCAGTTTCCCGCCCCCTGGATGTAGCTACCATCAAGTGGTCTTCTGTGCTGTGCTGGTTCTCTTGTTCCTTGGTTTCTTTGTTTGGCTTTGTTACTAGTAGTAATAAGGCCAGGAGCCCCATTCGTAGCGTTCTTGCTCCGTTCGTAGCGATGCCCTTTGCTTCGTGCTGAGTTCTCTCTTTCCGATCTTTTGGGCACAACTTCCAAACACATGCCGTCACCGAACACCGAACCATCTACCGGAGCGAAACAGAAACGCTTTCATGTTCATGCACAGCATTGCGCAGCACACAAACGGCCTGCTTCAAACAGTTCTGATTGTAGACAGTCGTGAGCTCATGCCTCCGAGTCTGGTTCGTAACCGTAAATAGGCCAAGTCGATTTCTGCTTGTTTGGATTCTAATTGCGAAACAAGAAGCTACTAGGGGCTCCTGGCCTTACTAGGAACAAGAAGCTAGTAGAAACAAGTGCATCGCTTCTAGTAACAAGTGCCTTACTAGTAGTAACAAGAAAGCTAGGAACAAGCGTTGTGGATGTTTTTCAGTAAAACGTCCTTCTGCGCCTCAAAACGGCCAAAGATCGGCCGTCGGTCACAGAGTGGTGCAGGTTCAACAGCAAATAGTGTACGGGTGGCTCAGAGGTCACCTAGCGCCATCTCTACTCGGGCCATCTCTACCTTCGGTTGAACTAAACGAGGTGTGCTGAGAAGGTTGGTATAATCAGACGACGCGTGAGGAGAGATGCCCACAGAAGGGGGAAGGAAAAGTAGACCTACTTCGGAAATTTGACCCCCAATAAGACCTTTAAAAGATGTGTTTTGATTCAAGACTGAAAAGATTCACCAGGATGTTTGATTCAAGAGGATGTTTGCCCGCAAAAAGGCATCAGTTTTTTCTGGTGGGACAACTTGGCTTCTCAGAAACTACTTGTGGAAGTCAAAAGTGCCTATGTACAGGTGAGCAATCAAAAGCAATTCACCAAACACTACAATATCATGTAGTTATCTACTATCTATTTTTAAGTACCGGCAGTTTTTAAAAAGGCCCTCCAAAAAACTGACGTTTTTGTGCAAGATGCTCTTTAAGGAGGCAGGTTGGAGGCCATCGCTATACTTGCCCACTGCTAGGTTCCTTCGTATCGGCCTTCGCGAGAATCACGCGAATCAAAGAATCGTCCCGCAGGTCGAAGGGCTTTCTGGCCTCGTGACTTCGGCATTCTCAGTGCCACGCTAGTAGTAACAAGTGCCTTACTAGTAGTAACAAGGAAGCTATTAATTTACTTTAAACTTAATTCTAATAGCTTCTTTGTTACTACTAGTAAGGCACCTGTTACTACTAGCGTGGCACTTGTTCCTAGTAGCTTCTGGTTACTACTAGTAAGGCACTTGTTATTAGAAGCGATGCACTTGCTACTAGTAGCGTCCTTGCTAGTAGCGATGCCAGGAGCCCCTAGTAGCGATGCCCTTTGCTAGTAAGAATGCTCTTGTGTCCGATTTCAGCCTGACGCTTTATCCGTGCCTCATCCATGAGCAACGATAACATGGTGTCCACAGCCAACCTCCAAAGCAAGCGCAGTCGGACGTGCACGCGCAGTCGGCGTGACGAAGGGATGAGACTTTGGCGATCTTCGCTCATCAAACGTCAAACTTCTGCTGGACCTCACACGCCATTCTCAAACGGACAACTTGGACTGGACCGTAAAGGTGTCTCAGAAAGGCTGGGAATCTCCTTCTTCAGGTATGAGCTGCGCACATGTCCATCAAAGGTAAAGCCTCAAGTCACACAAGAAAACAACCTCCCCACACGTTGATAATCACTATTAATTTAGTTGGTGTTCTTCCTACTAGTAACTAAGTGCATCGCTACTAGTAGCACGAAGCTACTAGGAACAAAGGGCATCGGACGCTACTAGGGGCTCCTGACAAGAATTCAATAGAATTAGAAATAAACTGCTGAAATTCTTTAAGGTAACAAGAAGCTCCTAGGAACAAGTGCATCGCTTCTAGTAACAAGTGCCTTACTAGTAGTAACAAGAAGCTAGTAGTAACAAGTGCATCGCTTCTTTGAGGTAACAAGAAGCTCCTAGTAGCTGAGGTACTGACATCTGGCCCCGGGGAGCGGAGCGGTGGAGAGTTGTACATCTGCCAGGCAGGTGACCGGGAGGCTGGTCGCTCCTCTCAAGCTTCAAACCGCTGAAGGGCTCTCCTCTCAAGGCTTCTACTTGCGACGGCCCCCAACCTAATAGCGATGGCCCCCAACCTACTGGCGACGGCCCCCAACCTAATAGCGATGGCCCCCAACCTAATAGCGATGGCCTCCAACCTACTGGCGATGGCCCCCAACCTAATAGCGATGGCCTCCAACCTACTGGCGATGGCCTCCAACTCATGATTTTGCTGAGGTCCAAGCCCGAAAAAAGACAGATGCACGGCTCCTGGCATATTTCTGCTGCACAAAGCGTCCTTGTTCCTAGTGGTAAGGCCAGGAGCCCCTAGTAGCGTTCTTGCTCCTACACCCAACTCAAAGTCAAGCAAGCCTCGAAGTTGTCAAAGCGTGGCTGCTGCCTGCCACGCGGTGCTCTTCCAAGAGCACTTCAAGAGCGACCCCTCACATGACCATGCTACCAGGTTTGGTAGCACAACTCTTCAAACCTGGTGAATGTGAAATACCTCTATGTCTATCTTCCGTCCAACGTACGAACCATGACCCGATCAAACCGCAACTGTGTTTGCTACGATAAAATGTCATCAGAATTGCTGTGAGACACAAAGGCCTCTAAAGTGTCTTCCAAACAATTTGTGGGCAACTCCGTGTCACCCGTAGGAACAGCATGGTAGAGAAATCGCTGATGGCAGCGGAAGCCATCAGGTCGTGGATAGGTCGTGGGTTTTACTGGTGGATATGGGCATCTGTTACTAGAGATCAAAGAGTCCGGTAATTAGGCACTCCGGTAGGCACCACTGTAGGCACTATAATTTTGCAATTCATGACTCTGAGACTTGCAGATTGGGGATTGAGACCGCAATCATATTGGATGCTTTGCAGCAGTAGAGGTTGGTGGATGCGTTGTGTTCCCCACAATGCTACCGCAGAATGAGAAACTCATACCAAATCCTTTAAACATCACCATCAACACTGGAAAACACGGGCCACAGCATCCTTTTCTCTTTGGTTCTGTGCTTAGTTTCTTTGCTCCTAGTAGCTTCTTGTTCCTAGTAGTACGGCCAGGAGCCCCGAACGTCGCGTCCGATCGCTCCTAGTAGCGATGCCCTTGTTCCATCTTGTTCCTAGTAGCTTCTACTGTAGCTTCTTGGTTTTTGGTCTTTTTGTGGCGTGACCTTTGTGGCTTTGGGCTGTTTGGTTGCGGGTTGGTTTGGTTTATGATGGTTTACTAAGTTTGCTATGTGGTTCTTGTGGTTCTTGTGGATGTGAGGTTGTACTTTTATCTAGTGTCGTTCGTTGAGTTTGGGTAGGGGCCTACGGTAAGGGGGTCTACATTGCACCAAAACAACTAACCAAGAAATGCATATCCTGCGAACCAAAAGTCCGGACTTCAGAACATGACCAGAACAGCCAGCAGCACAACAAGAGAGTGGACAGAACCATTGCCCAACACATCAAGACATGGTTCCGACTCCACTCAAGCCTTCTAAGCACCACTCTCATTTGGGGCCCAGGCACACGCGTACAAGGGCTGGAGATAACTTTGAAAGGCACTAGTAGCAAGTGCATCGCTACTAGTAACCAGAAACTAAAACGTAAAGAACTCGCCAAAATGACTAGGAAGATAGGGAAGAAGTTGATCTGAGCAGTTTGGCGTTATGAGCATACAGGAGCCATCATGACCTTCTCATCCTTTATTTTCCTGATCCTTCACATGTGCAACCAATGCTTTCTCTTCCCATGTCGCTGTTTCATTTCTCTACCGATCTTTCCAAAGCTCACTTTCTTCACTTGAGATTTGGCTAATAGCTTATTGGCACCCCTCCTGCTGTCAAATTGCCACTTGCAGCAGGCCCTCACGCCTAGAACCTGGTCCCCCTTGTAATTAAATCTCTCATGGACCCCAACCACTTGCCATCCTTCGTGAGCTGATCTATCCTCTCCTTGACATGAAACTTGTAGTCGGTTGCATGGACGAAAGTATCATGAAACAAACCGCATTGTGACACCGCAATGCGCTGCATGCCATGTAAAGTGTATGCAGGTACCAAAGTTAAGGTTTCGCGTAATAATCTATTTATCCACAGTGAATGTTTCACGTGTTTTGATTGTGATTTTGGGAGTTGGACTTGGCGCTTGCCATGAAAGCTCATTTACATGATGTTTTCCACAGTTTGAAGTTCTTTCAAGTAGCAAGTGCAATTGACCCGCCTCTCCCAGCAGGGGCTTCTGAACTTGGAATGTGAAAATCCGGTGTTTCACGTGCTCCGAACTGGCTCCCAGCTGTCCGAGGCAAAATCGAAGGTTGACTTGAATTTCTTGCGGACCCCCAAACATGTCAGCCGCATGAAGACCCAAACCCGCAAAGGTAGTAAAGCTGGACACAGTGACAAGCGCGGGCCCCCACGGCGCTCCTTTCTGAAAGCAAATTAATTACCACGTACAAGCAACAAAATGTATCCTGCCCAGAAACAACCGCTAAAATATACTAGTAGTAATGGCCTCCAACCTCAAAGCTTCTCGCTACCTTAAACATCCATGGTTTATGAGAATTGTTCAAACTGAACTATTTTGGCAGGTGGCTAGCCCTTGCTTGATGTAGTGGTTTGGTTATGCCAGTTGCAGGTACCACGAAGTGATGTCTTTGGATGTAAAGCAAGTGGCTTGCCCTTGGATTGGAAGCACCCAAAAGATCTGACAAGCATGTGCGCCCTTTGCACTATGGCCACGGGCGACATACTGTCTTGTTCCCATCAGTCTCTCCATTCATGCTGCCTGCCCGATCAAACCACCTCAAAAAAAACACAAAGGAAGGAATTTGGGCCACGGGAACTGAAGCTGAAAGCATGCACTCAGCTCTGTGCGAGGTGCGCGAGTCAGCACGATGCAATTCACCGTCTTCCCAAGACACTGGAGTGAGCGAGTGTCAAACTAGAAAGAAAAGCAAAAGAAGGAACATCAAAACATGCACTTGTGACTAATAGCAATGCTCTGGTTACTGAAAGCAACGCTGAAAGCAACACGCTTTCAGTTCGGGACATGCCTGGCCCTGGGCTCTTTAGTCGACCTCCAAGCCTTAGAGTGTGCCGAAAGTCGGTGAACCCAGCTGAAACTGCTGGGTGAACCCAGCTAGTAGGTTGGAGGCCATCGCTTCTTAGTAAACTTACGCAAAAACACAAAAAACTCTGAAACTTGGGGAACAAGAAGCTACTAGGAACAAGTGCCACGCTAGTAGTAACAGGTGCCTTACTAGTAGGAACAAGAAGCTACTAGGAACAAAAACAAGAAAACTCTGAAACTTGGGGAACTCGAGACACTGAAGACGATTGTGAAAGGAACCAGTCGCTGATGGTAGCTGACGGTAGCTGGTAGCCAAGGAAACGGCACACTTCGACCGCCATTTGGAAAAGGACGAGGATGGGTATGGGGATGGATGAGAATTGGGAAGAATGAACATGAGGATCCGGATGGAGCAGGATGCTGATCATACAAATGATGAATAGTAGAATTTGAATCAGGATGAGCATCAATCGGCAAACAGCAAGGAGACCCTCCTTTTGCTTCTTGCAATGCCAAATCAGCCAAGTCAACAATTCCTTCACAAATTAAGCTCTTTGAGGCTCAAAGCATATATGTGTGCCAGTCAGGTCAGGTCCAGAGATTTTGCTGGTTGCTTTGGTTGCTTGTCGGATTCGGAATATTATTCCTCAAGCGGGGGGGGGGTAGGCCGTGAGGCAGCTAGTAGGCATTTTTCTAGCCCGCTAATACTTAATTAACTGGGTAGTCTCTACTTAATGAAGGGACTAGTTCGCTAGTATATAGTATTAAGTAGGATGCTACTAGCTACTGGACGCAGGAGCTCACACGCTCGCGCGCCTCCAACCTACTAGCGATGGCCTCCAATCTACTAGCAACGGCCTCCAGCCTGCTAGCGATGGCCTCCAACCTCAGAGTGATGGCCCCCAACCTAGTAGCAATGGCCTTCAACCTAGTAGCTGGCCTCCAGCCTACTAGTGATGGCCTCCACCCTACTGGCGATGGCCTCCAACCTACTAGCAATGGCCTCCAACCTACTAGCGATGGCCTCCAACTCAAGAGCGTGCTGATAACAAATTTGGATTTAATACCAATGACAGCAGCTGATTTCAAAGAAGAAACGTTTGCGGTCGCAAATGATGACGTACTGGCCGCGAATCCTTGGCGGAGAGCGAGATGAGGTCAAGACCACACAAAAAGGAATACTTAGAAACAAGAAGCTATTAGAAACAAGTGCATCGCTACTAGTAACAAGTGCCTTACTAGTAGTAACAAGAAGCTAATAGGAACAAAAAGGAATACTTGACATGGAAAACTGGACGACGGCGGTGGCTACGAACTTTGGTCCAGTTCCCTCCCTGCAGCGCTGAACCACCATTTTGTCCATCATTCCCTGACCACCTTTTACACGTCCTGCCAACGACGCCCTAATTGTTTTGGGCAAGCTTCTCCTGCAAAATTCTGTCCCACCCACCCCTCCAACTGAAGCTTAACCTGAATCAGGTCCTCCCAAATATTCCAAACGATGGGTGGTACATTGAAACATCTCGACCAAGAACGCCAGTGACCACGAGTGCATGCAACGGGTGCGTACAACCAGGAAGCCATGCGCCTTCAGCGACCCACGCACACAACCCCACTTCATTCTGAATGGTCCAATGTTCCACAGAACCTGCAAATTGCGAACATGGCAAATCATGTTGTAAAACACACACACACACCATGTTTGGCAGGCCACGGGGGTTCAACGCAAGTTCCACATGACAAACCCTCATGCCGAATAGAGTGTGTGGCACAAACAAACCTCCAACCTAGTAGCTTCTTGTTACTAGTAGCGATGGCCTCCAACCTACTAGCGATGACCTATGTTTACGAGAGCCAGAAGGTGACCGCTTCACCCCACTCTGCTGCGACGGGTCAGTCTTCCTGGGAGTATCACGCTCGGGAAGCTGTTGGAGCACAAGTTCGGGTTCAGTTCTCATTGTGGCCTATGTTACCTGGGAAGTCCAGGAACAAATGGTCAAACCGGAACCCGAACATCCGAGGAACTGAAACACTTGAAGTCCAATATTCCATGTCATAGTGGAACTCTCCCGTCGACGTCGTGACCTCGCAAGAAGGCGCTGAAGGCTCGGTGAAGTCAAACAGCCGCAGCCTGAACAACAGCAGGTTCGCCATCGATGAAGTCCCGCAACAAGTTGCTTCGAAGGACATCATGTCTTGCGATGACCTCACCAACATACCGGCAGTGGTCAGCCAAAGTGCTTTCCCTACTTTCCTATGCTTTCCCAGGTTGGAGGCCGCTCTAAGGTTGGTTTGTTTTTTTTATCGGTTTTCGTCTCCAAACTCGCTTCGGTTCTCGCACCCGCTCGATGGCCGTGGCAAAGGCAGCCCGGTCAAGGTGGCCTTCTAACCTGTCAAAGCGAACACACTTACACAAAGGATTCTGGAAGAAAGGACAAAGAAAGAACGACGGTCGGTTCGGCTGCTAGACAAAATCCAAAGGCCAACAGGTGTGCATGTTCAGCTACACAGCTACAATATGTCAGCAACACCAAGGAAAATGCAAAGGCAACGAGAAACCCGCAAGCCGTCACACTGCGGAGAAAGCGAAACCATGCTGTAGCATACCAACCACCAAACGGCATTACCCCGGACCTCCACAGTTGCATCCATGGAACTTCTCATGACACATGTCACATGTTTTTGCATTACATCATTAAGTAACGAAAAACGCAGTTCTCTCTCCAGCGCCAGATGGTGAGAAAACACACTGAACGTCCACGAGAAAGTGCACGCCGGGAGTTGTTCAAAATCCAACAAGTCCCGCAAGGATCTCCACCCCTAGGTTGGAGGCCATCGCTATTAGAAACAAAGAAACAAAGGTAACAAAGGTCTTATATAGTTACTAGTAGCTTCTTGCTACTAGTAATGCCCTTGTTAGTAGTAACGTCCTTGTTCAAAGTAAGAATGCTCCGTTCGTAGCGATGCCGCCCCCAGTAGCGTCCTTGCGACCTCGGGTCTTGGCCCCGATGCTCAATGCTCTAAAATAGATTCGACTTTGCCAACGCATTCGACGGCAGATTTCTCCCGCATCCAGAATGGCTTGCAGAGAATTGGCATGTTAGAGTTAGAGCGACTTCAACTTCTCTTGGATGCTTTCCTTTAGCATAAAATGGCTATCTTTGACTGCCCCTTCCAAGGATGCTTTCAGGGTATAACCTTGGAATGCCCAGCCCCCTAACAAGGGATCCCTTTGGGAAGCTGGCCTCAGGAGAAGAGGTGAGTTGTAGGCAGAACTCCCTGGTTGAAGTTCATGAAGTACCAACCTGGAGCGCAAAACACAGCGAACCAAACGCAAAAAGTCTCGGAACGTCCAACAAGACCTTAGTCAATTGAGTTTGGACTTTGTTTCTTTTTGTTCTCTTCTTCAAACTGTATTAAAAAATGGTCCATCTCTGCAATCAAGGATAACTATATAATGCCTGCCAAAAAGCATATGCTCTTGGCCAAGGGATGCAGGCATCAAACCTTCTACAGGTGCAGGACCACGCATTGGCATGACCTGGTCGTGGAAGGACACGAAGACGCAAGCCGCTATCCGGAACAAACACTTGCAGTGAATGCAAACGAGAGTCTGGAACTCGGGTACTTCACCGCTTTGAAGTGTTCGATGTTCTATAAACTGTCTAGCTCCCTTCTAGTTCTCTAAGCATATTTGAAAGCTAGGTGATTGGAAAAGACTCTTTGTTTTTTCAATTTAAACTCAGTTTCGTAGACCCTAGACTCTCAGCTGTTGGGGATTTTCAAGGCAACCAAAGCAATCAAGCCTTTTAGTCGTCCCCCTCTGGCCTCTAGTTCACTCTCGATGAGAACGTATTTCGTCTACAAACTTCACTCTCTCTTGCTATGAGAGTAGAGACCATCGTTAGCAGGTTGGAGGCCATTGCTAGTCGGTTGGAGGACATCGCTAGTAGGTTGGAGGCCATCGCTAGTAGGTTGGAGGCCATTGCTGGTAGGTTGGAGGCCATTGCTAGTAGGTTGGAGTGCATTGCTTCTAGGTTGGAGGCCGCACTTTTACCTCATTCCCCCTTGGCACACACAGCGTGCACGCAGCGCACCTCCCGGGCGCTTGACAAGAGCTGTGCCAAGGTGGAGGCCGACGGATGCGCATAAACTTCGTCGAATTGCAACGACGATGCCTCATCATGCGCTCTATTAAAAGAAACCAAACAGACAATTGCCAGTTTCATCGAAGTTCAACAAGTTCACGGCCCTAGTTTGCTTGAATGGTAAAGTCGACTGACCGATTTCTTGAAGCGTAAGCAATCCAGCACGGGGCATGTAGAACTTAATTCACGCCTCAGGAACCTGTGCCCGTAGTGCTGATAGCAAACTTGCAGCCTTCAAGGAAGTGCCACCCAACCTGAAGCCCAAAATGTTTTCTTCACAGGGCTCTCGCCGAGAAGCCGTTGATTCCAAGTTAGTTGTCGCTTGTGTATGAGAAGGTGTCGACGATGGCATTTGGAATTTGGAGTGACACATGGAAGCAATCACATTTAATTTTTGCCAAAGCCAAAGGTGGAGATACCAAGCGAATTGTTCCAACCTTCTTGTGCTGTACTGCGATTTGCACATCACATAGATTGTTATTTGCTGATTCTTGCAGTCCGACACTGCAAAGCACGAGTGCACACGCACACTTTGACATTGGTTTTTCAGTCAGCTCAATTCCCAGGTCGAAAATGGTGAGGGAACGGCAAGGCGAACAGGTCGGCGAGAACTGTATGGTTGAACAATGTTTGCAATCTGACACACAAGCGGTGGGAAAAAAAAGGGTTTGGGGGACGTATCATGAACCACCATGGAATCAAAGCAGAAGGATTGGAACAGCGTACTCAACCGTTGAAGCAGGTACAGGTGGATGATCAGTCCACCCCTCCCTCGTCATACCGTAGCTTCATTGCGTACGGTGGGTATGACGAGCCGTACGCCCCTGCTTTGAAAACATGGAAAGCCCTTAGGGACAGGGTTTGACACACACACACACACGGTGCTGCTTTGCGGCGCTCGTGCGAACGACCTGAATAGGTACCTAAAAAGCCTTAGAAACAAAAGAAAGAAACGCAGAAAGAGCAATGCTAAGAGGGCAAGAGAGAAAGGTAGGAATAGAAAAAAGTGAATACTTAGCCCTTGACTGGGGTAGGGAAACGAGCCTCAAGAGCAACCTAAAAAGCCTGAGAGAAAGCCCAACAAACGACGAAAAGCGCAAGAAGAAAAGTGGGGGGGCAGGGAGGGGGTGCATGTCCATGTGTGTGTACATGTGTGTGTCTGAATACGCAGCACTGTAGACTTACTGATTACTTAGCAGAAATGAATTAAGTGCAATAGTTAGGGGGCGGGACTTTAGTCTTAAACCGCCCGGGTAGAGAAGACTAGAAAAAGGGACAACAGAGGGAAAGGCACCGACACACAAGTGGGCCGAGTACCATTTCCCTCTGTTACCCTAATTAGGTAGGGAGCAGAACGCGGGGGGGGGGGGGGGGGGTTGGGAAACATGCCTGCCCTCAAGTGGAATTCCGTTTTTTAGCCCGGCGGCTGTGGCATCATGTCGTGCAAGCCCGACGGCTTTTGAATCAGTTGATTCAGTTAAGAAAAAGTGGAAGACAAGGTGCAGTGGACGAAGTAGATCCGTTACACGATTTCCGGAGTGAATTCAGCGCCCCTGTCACGGGGTTTGCACCCAGCACCCAAGTGGGACGGCTGAGCGGTGCACACTTTGACATTGGTTTTCAGTTAGCTCAATTCCCAGGTCGAAAATGGTGAGGGAACGGCAAGGCGAAAAGGTCGGCGAGAACTGTATGGTTGAACAATGTTTGCAATCTGACACACAAGCGGTGGGAAAAAAAGGGTTTGGGGGGACGTATCATGAACCACCATGGAATCAAAACAGAAGGATTGGAACAGCGTACTCAACCGTTGAAGCAGGTACAGGTGGATGATCAGTCCACCCCTCCCTCGTCATACCGTAGCTTCATTGCGTACGGTGGGTATGACGAGCCGTACGCCCCTGCTTTGAAAACATGGAAAGCCCTTAGGGACAGGGTTTGACACACACACACACACCAACAACCAAACTTAAGTACTAGAACTGTTACACATTTATATATGATCTGATCGCAGGGTGGCTATTTTACGCAAAAATAGCACCTTTGCTGAGTAGTGGAGCAACCTGTTTAGCATTGTTTTGAGGTATCACCTTGCATTTCAAATCGTGCACGTTCTTCTGTCGCTTGGACAAGTTGCATGTTGCAATCAAGGTATCCTTTAGCTCATTTTCTGCATATCTTCCACAAAAACCCAAAAGACAAGCAGTCCTGGATGTCAAGCTCTTGCATGAAGCATTTGTGTTGGCAACAATTCAACTGCTTCGACCGAACGGCCAGCCATTCGTGTTTGACACTTTCGTGCTTCGACTCTTGATGCCAAGTAACGCAAAAAAATCCGCATGCACTGAGGTACAATCGAGGTTGCGTCGAAGCACCTCTGCTCATGAAGAAGGAAGAAAACAAGGAAAATAAGAAACCTAACCTACGTGCAATGGCCTCCACCCCAATAGCCATGGCCTCCAACCTACTAGTGATTGCCTCGACTTGCGATGGCCTTCAACCCACTTGCGATGGCCTCCCTACTGGCAAGGTTGGATCAATGCAAGAATCTTGTGTTTTATTCTTTCCTAGTAGCGATGCCCTTTGCCCCTAGTAGATACTTGTTCCTAGTAGCGATGCCAGGAGCCCCGTTCGTAGCGTCCTTTGCTCCATTCTTCCTTTGTGTTCATTCCTTTCTTCCCTTCATTCGGACCTTTCGACCTTTGGCTCAACAACTGGAAAAACCGAGTAGCTAGCGGCAACTGCAATCCTCTTTAGGGTCCAGAAAATGCCAGAAGGTCCGCCTGGCAAATGGCCTCGAGGAGCTTCTTCTCCAAGGGAGTCCTGCATTCTTCCCAATCATGTTAACTTTGATCCTCCAACTTGCTCCCTTCGCAAGTTTTTGATTTGTGTCTGTCACAATTCAAACATGTGTGAGCACCTGCCTTGGTGCAATCGTGTCCTGGTAGAGTCAGCTGCGAGAAAAGGATGAACAAGGCCCACTCTTGCGGCAGAGGCCACTATGCCAACAAGTGTTCATTCCAAACTTGTTTCAGAAAAAACCGCGGAAAACACTTAGAGCTCCTTCTTATTGGGTAATCAGGAAGCAGCAGCCAAAGGTGGTGAATGTTTAACAACTCCGCATCGAACCAGTTCGTAACAAAGGCAGGGATGTGCCATGTTTTCCGCCTGGACACAAACAGTTGGCACTGGCAGGGCTTTTCGATCCACCTGGCAAGCGCTTCTCTGTTTCGACGTTCACTTCGAAGCGTGAAACCGGTTCACTGGAAGGCAAGGCCTATAGCCTCACGAAAATGTAGGCAAAAGTCTAATTTAATTCTAATAGCTTCTTGTTACTACTAGTAAGGCACCTGTTACTACTAGCGTGGCACTTGTTCCTAGCAGCTTTCTTGTTCCTACAAGTAAGGCACTTGTTACTACGAACTAGGGTCAAAGCTTCGAACGGAGCTGCCATTTTCTCCGGTTTGCCACAGTGTATGTTATCTCGCCGTTGCGCTAGGGAGTGTCCGACTCACCTTGGAAGGCAAGGGCCTTAGCAAGTTCATCCCGGTATGAGCCAGGACCTTGGTAAAGGGGATGTGGCGTGCCAATGCTGGAGGTGGGTGGAATGTAGTGGGAATCAAAAGAAAATGTTGAGTGATGATGAGGAGTTCCTAGTAGCTTCTTGTTTCTACTAGCTTCTTGTTTCTACTAGCGTGGCACTTGTTACTACTAGCGTGGCACTTGTTACTACTAGCTTCAATGACTGCTTGATGGAAGCAAGGGCGGAACGGGAGAAGATTTGCCCAGGATGAATGGATGTGAATGGCGTCGAAACAGCGCAGCCGGCCAAGCCCCAGCCGGCTTTTGGGATTCATCGGGGGCTTGCGGACGAGGTAATCTCAATGGCAAGAGGCTACTAGGAGCAAAGGACGCTACTAGGAACTAAGGGCATCACTACTAGGAGCAAACACGCTACTAGTAGCTCCTGGCATCGCTACCAGTAGCAAATAACGACTAGCAGGATTGGCCTCCACCCTAGTAGCGATGGCCTTCACCTAGTAGCATCCTTGCTACTAGTGCCAAGGGATTAGGGCTACCTAGTCGTACAAGACCCGGTGGTATTTTCTTGATAGGCGATGCGATGTTTGAGGTGGGGTTGGAGATAGAATTGATAGGAGAAAAGGAATGTATGGATTAGAAGATTTGTGGATTGGAACCTAATAGCAATGGCCTCCACCCTAGTAGCGATGGCCTGCAACCTACTAGCAAGAGGAAGGAGGCAAAATAGTCAAAATATTGTTTCTACTAGCTTCTTGTTACTAGTAGTAAGGCCCTTGTTCCTAGTAGCGATGCCAGGAGCCCCTAGTAGCGTCTTGTTACTACCGATTGCCTCTTTCCGAGTGTTGGAGAGCTTGGCGCTTGGACAAGTCAGGGCCGGCCTGCGCAAAGGAATCTTGAGAGGAGGACAGTCGGGTAGCAGAAGGTCCTAGTAGCTTCTTGTTACTACTAGTATGGCACTTGTTACTACTAGTAAGGCACTTGTTACTACTAGCGTGGCACTTGTTACTACTAGCGTGGCACTTGTTACTACTAGCATCGTGATGCATCGGAAGCAGAACTCCGGAGACTACCCACACGTACCTACCGGAGAGTCAGGGGAAGAGAGTGTGCAGAGAAAGCGGCCCCAATGTCGGTGACTTTCCAAAGTCCCAGCAGCAAATCTTCGGCAAATACCTGAAGTACATGCAGGGCAAGATGGAAGGAATGTGGGGAGCAGAGCTGCGCAAATGCGCGGGGCGCAATGTGTGCCAATGTGATTGCCTGCGCGCGCCCGCAGGAATACCCTGGCATGCAAGTATGAACGTGTGTACACCGCTAGACCCCCTGGTGCCTTGTCAGTCTTTCCTGGCGTGTGTCAGCGCAGGGCCCGGCCCTGCTTTTTGATGACCTCTTTGGCAAATAGCAAGCTTGAGTTTTGTTGCAGTTCTCTCTAGCCTTGAGGAGTATGCTGCAATCTCAAAGGAGCCGATCGCATATTTGGCCTTACTACTAGGAGCAATGTTCGCTACTAGGGGCCCCTGGCCGTACCACTAGGAACAAGAAGCTACTGGGGGCTCCTGGCCTTACTACTAGGAACAAGAAGCTACTAGGGGCTCCTGAGGACGCTACTAGGAGCAAAGGGCATCGCTACTAGGAGCAAGGACGCTACTAGAGGCTCCTGGCATCGCTACTAGGAGCATTCTTACTACTAGCAACAAGAATGGAATGGTTGCTTGCACAGTGTCGTTGTACTGTATACCTGGTCATTCTCCGGGACCCACGGTATGTTTTTGTATGCGGTTCGGCAAGAATCTGTTGAGTGTATGGGCAAAAACGGAGGTATGGACGTTTGCCTCGTGTCCAGGTAAGGGGGGCTCCTTGGCGATTTCCATTGCCTTTTCATTCCGAAGCGCCGCTTGCGAACGCCATCGCTTTGCTCCTAGGAGTTCTGGAGGCCACTACTAGGTTGGAAACAAGAAGCTACTAGGAACAAGTGCCACGCTAGTAGTAACAGGTGCCTTACTAGTAGTAACAAGAAGCTAGTAGAAACAAGTGCCTCGCTTCTAGTACTAGGTTGGAGGCCATTGCTAGCTCTTGTGGTTTACCCCGGTAGCCTGGCGATCTTCGCCGATGGTACAGTGAGCCTGACGTGCTCTCTTGCCGGTGATCGCCCTAGCAAGCTCTACCGGCGTGGACTTTAAAGAAAGGACAATCTCGGAACCATGTGCCGGACACCGTAACAACATGTCAATGACAACGCACAAGCAATTGACAAGTGTGAGAGTGATGCTCATCTTGCAGTCCTCACGCTGACATCTCGGGGAAAATAATTAGGATTTTGAGGCTGTCTGGCGGCCCATTTAGGAGACATACACCACTACACCGCACTCATGCGCAACCAACCCCTAGACTCGGCCCAATCTGCTTCAGTGCAGCACACCTTGAAAGCTAAGCACGCACAAATCAAGCAACTGACCAAACACAGTGCACACTGCGACTAACTATTTTGCTTACATCAAATGAGGTTGCACAAACCCAAAGTTTTCAGCCAAGAAGGACGGGCAGAAAAGTGTTCGGCCAAAGGATCGGAACTAGGAGCGATCGGACGCTACTAAGAGCGATGATTCAAAGTGGCGAGAGTTCCAGAACACTAAGGACCCAATGTTCGCTACTAGGAACAAGTGCCACGCTAGTAGTAACAGGTGCCTTACTAGTAGTAACAAGGAGAAGCTAGCTTAAAATAAATAGCTTTTTGTTACTACTAGTAAGGCACTTGTTACTAGGAGCGATGCACTTGTTACTAGTAGCTTCTTGTTTCTAATAGCTTCTTGTTACTACTAGTAAGGCACCTGTTACCTAAGGACCCTTTCGGCACCCAGCCTTGCCCGTGCGCCCTCTTGGCCACTCTTTCACCACCACGAGCTCTGGCCACATGTACCTCCATCTCATAAGACCAAAGCGAAAGAACAAAAAGAAAGCATCATGCATCTCAATCATGCATCTCATTCGCATAAATTGCTTATCCAAGCTTATTCAATTAGTGAGCTTGATGCTTGTTCCAGGCAACAGCAGCTCTACCCACAAAACAATACACAAAACGAAAGTAAAAAACCTAACACAGAACTGTCACCTGAACTCAATCGAAAAGCCTGCCTGGGCAATCGCTGGCGTGTTTTCTCCACCTCAGCAATAAGGAAGTTACCAATAGGATGAAGCTTTATGCGCTGAAGCCAAACGAAACTTCTTTTGAAACACTGAAAAACATAGACCACAGTGCAGTAACTCTCAGTAACCTTTCCTTCAGCGCAATTGGTGCGCTGCGCATTGCCGTGCAGCTTCACCTTCCTCGACTCCCTTAGTTCCGTGACTTCCAAAAGTTTGTCTTGCCTTTTGTTTCTGGCAATGCTAGTGTCGGCTCGAAACCTCCCAGCGGTGCACCGGCGTCAACGGAAGTTCGAGGGGCGTGTTTCATGGTGATGGCTCTTTTAGAAAGGCCGCTCTGTTCTGGCCGTTGGACAGGGGTGATCGATCTTGAAGAGCTCAAGCATGGGTGTCTTCGTTGTGGCACGCTGCCATTGTCTGGCCAATTGTGCTTCATTGAGGGTCTTTCGGATGGGTTCAAAGACCGGATCACGGTGTATGATGTCCTTGTCAATCAGGATTGCATGGGGTTTGTACTTCAGATTGATGCTTCCACCGTGGTAGTCCAGCGAGCTCAGCTTAGCGTGATTGATCTTCATGAAGTCAAGGAATTGTGCAGTGGCTTGGCATGCATTTCAATGGGAGCGACACCCATTGGGGGACGAGCTGTAGGAGCCTTGGATGTGAATAGGCTTGCCATTTCCCATCTTGAAGCCAATCAACACCCCAATCCAATTTGGGGGTCTGTTTTGAAGGACAGTGATGTTTGCCGCATGCATTTGCTCGGTGGGGCAAAAAAGGGGAACCCTGACAGCCGGGTTCCCCTGTCAACCGTTCTCCAAGCAGGGGGACAGGCTTGGCATGCAGGACAAGAGGTCTGAGGTGTTTGATGGAGTTGCAAGAGCTGCTTGGTTGATGCAGCCGGGCCTGCTGATGCTAGAATGTGTGACTGAAGCCGGCATGATTCCAGAAATCACCAGTACCTTGTCAGCATTAGCCAAAGGACTAGACTTCGGTATCAGGACCATTGAATTGGCCCTGGAAGATGTTTGGCCTTGCAAAAGGCGCCGTTGGTGGGCGATTCTCACCATTTCGCCGTGGCTGCCAGCAGAGCTGAGATCCTGGCCAGGATTTGCATTTCCCACAGTTCGAGATGTCATCCCAGAGTGGCCAGTTTGGCCTGAACATGAAGAAAGTCAGCTCGAGCTGGGAGGCATTGAACTCCAGGCCTTTCATGAACCCAGCTTTGGGGGTAGTGATCGAGTGCTTCAGCTGAATGGCAAGGCTCCGACTTTCCTTCATTCATATGGCAGCCAGCTTGTTGCATGCCCTTGCAAGTGCAGAAGCAGTGGGCTGAATCCTGCTCGCTTGGAACGTGCCGGATTGAGAGGAGTGTATGTCCATTCCCAAATGAGCCATATGCCAAGATGGCTTCATCCGAGAGAGCTTGCAGTCCTGCAAACCATCATGCCGGACATTGTCCTTGATGAGGATCTACGTGCCAGTTTGGTCATGCTTGGACAGATTGCAGCTCCTGCACAAGCCCTTTGGTTGCTGGCTCAAATCTGGCTTCCGCTTCGTGGGGATGATGTCACGCCGGAAGTAGCTTTGAAGAAGTATCTTGATGATTTGCTTTGCCGTCGATATCATGTTTTCCCTCCAAGTGCCATTCCAGATCGGCAATTGATGCATGTTTGGCATGACCAGGGAAGTGAACTAGTAGCGGTTAGCAATCTTCAGCGAGTGGAAGATTTTGTTGGTGCAGAAGAACGCCTTCTCGGTGACATAGAAGTGCAGCTCTGGGATGGACACATGAGGCTGAAGGGCTCTGATGTTCTTCATCTTGCAGGCCAGTCAGGTGCGTACACAGTTGTCAGAATCGGAAAAGGTGGCCAAGAGACCCACCACCCGCTGATTCTGGTGAAGCTGATCTCCGAAGAGAAGACATGGCAGGCGCTGCTGACTGCGGGCAGCTTTGTTTTTGAGGCCTTTTGGAGACTTCGGTTGCAAGTGGAACCCATTCCATTGAGAGATGCTCATGATGGCTTATGGTTTCCAGACAGCAGGGTCTGGGAGGATGTGACATTGCTTGATGTACCAGTCATCTCTTGCGGCCCACTTGATACAGGAGTTTGTCTGCAGCAGCCTCAGGATGACATTACTGGACCACAAATCCAACGTGCCATTGATGAACTGATGCAATGTCCTTCAGGCCCAGATGAAGTCCTGCTGACAGTTGATCAAGTGCAAGTGCTGATTCGAGCGCCCATTCATCTGCCTAGCAAGGTCCTGCATCGATGTGGACAATGCCTGGTTTTCCATGGGATCTTTCAGAGTTGTGGTCATTGGGCCATGTTCTCATGTGTGCGACGGGAGCTTTCGGTGGAGATTCATTACTTTGATGGAGTGATACATCTGCTGAAGCATGAAATGCGTGAAGTTGGCAACTGGGCCGGACGCCTATGGAGCTTGTCGAAAGTTGATGTCATCTTCGCCAGAACAATTGTCCAGCCCAAGCCGCATCTTAGTGCGGCAGTGGCCTTGGCGCATCTACGCCAGGCATGTTCGCTGATGCAAGCACCATCATCAGATGATTTAGAGGAATGGCATGAACACCTGATGCAGCCCATTCGCTCAGTAGGACTCAGTGACAGTGATGCGGAAATGGCAAGTGAGGTTGACGGCATTGAGCTGAGGGCGCTGTCTAGATTTGCAGAACACATTGCAGCTGAGGCCACCTCAGCAGTGACCTTGATTCCAGTGTCAGGGAGTGTGAACTTGGGGCATGGTGACCCAAGAGAAGCCACACAATTCGTGCAGGACCTTTTGCCCTTGTCCAAGCCACTTGCACTCTTTGTTGAGTCGGCGCATCATTGGTTGCTGTTTGTGATCCATCCTCGGGATGAGTGGCTGGATATTGAATACTATGATGGCTTGCCTCATGGACATGATCAAATGGTTGACAGAGTGGCAACCTGGGCACAAGAGATCTTGCATGCTCGTGGATTTGTCGTTCATTTTGTCACTGGATTGACCCAGCAGCAGCATGATCATTGTGGGGTCATTGCTCTTGCCAACTTCGCCATGATTGCCAATCCGGACGAACGCTGGACCCAGGATCAGTTGAATGACTTGCACGCTGTGCTCCAGGATTCTTGGGAAGTCTCGCACTCGGTGAGGGCATGTGGTGGAGGAGATAGCCAGGCAAGTGGATTAGCCCAGCAATTAGCTGACCTCCTCCTTATGAAGGGGGTACCAAGAGATCGTGCACATGAGAGAGCTTTGGCAGGGATTGCGGCAATTGGAGAAGCGGCACTGATTGCGGCATTGAAGCAGAAGCATCCCTGGGCAGAGCTCAAGCAATTGGGTTCGAAGCCCTCAAACAATTTTCAATGGGTCAAGCCTGACGAGTTGATGAGACAAGTTCGGGCCAGGGCTGAAGAGCAATATGGAGTGGCAGCCTCGACGAAGAAGAAGGATGGTCGACGAGCCAAGGCAAATGTCCAGCCGCTGCATGTTAATCCACAGCAGTTGAGTCTGATTGAGGGTTCTTTCGTTGATTCTGCAGGCAAATCTGTATCTCAGATCCAGCTGGCTGAGGTTTCAAGTCAAGCATCCGGGCTGGCATTTGCCACAGTCAGTGAAGCTAGCCCTTACTTGCAGGAGGGCAAAAGCCTCAGCCTTTCGCCGCTGGCTTTGCTCACAACTAGCCCAGTTCCACATGATCAGGTTGGCCTCCTTCCGGTGCAGAACTTGCGTTTTCCTGTTCTATATCAGGGAACACAAGAACCTGTTCTGGTCCAAGGATCATTGATTCAGTTGGGTGATGAGAATGTCACCCGTCAGCAAGAAAAGAATCCTCCCAGTCTTGATGCGTTGCCAACAGAAACCATGCGGCTGACTGTGTTTCGGGATGAGTTTGAGGCGGCAGGCGGTAGCTGGGATTCCTTGTGCCAGGGCCCTTTGAAGCAGATCTTTCTTGCTGTTCCAGGCCTGACGGTTTGTCGAGGCACAGCATGTGGTGGTCAATGTCCCAAACACCATTGCCCCGTTGATCAAGAGTATGACAGTTTGCTCACTGATGTGTGGGAACGGAGGTGGTCACGAGTGGATGGTGGAGGAAAAGTCAAGCCTGAGGATGCCGGACAGTTTTCAGTACTGACTCGGGTCATCAAGCATGTGGCAGATCAGCTACAAAGCCTTTCAGGACAGCATGGTCTCTACATTGAACCCAGGCAAGGGGATGGCAAGGGTCCTGCCTCAGGCTTCGGAGTGGTCTGGCTCAATCAGATGGGGCTTAGGGAAGCGGATCACAAGAAGAAGACCGTGGACGGTGCGATCGCCCTGGTTCGGCTCGGTCATAGATGGGGGCTTCGATTTCGTGAAGGAGACATGGAGAAGGCTTTTGCTGAACTGAGGCCCACGGAAACTTACATGAAAGTGCAGGTCCAGGACATTTTCCTGATGTACCCATTGCCTCATGGCACAACCCGAGCAGGATTGGTCAAGTGCTTGAAAACCTGGGGATGGGCAGCAAAACCGCTGCAGCCTGTTCGGGGTGGACCTGAAGGTGCTGGATGGCATGTGGGTAGTGGGACAGCTCCGCCGCACTCAGTCCTGCAAGGAGCGCATGGAGATGTCGTCGTCACCAAGGTTCGTTCTATGCTGAATGTCAAGGAGGCTCCAAGTGTTCTCAGTTCCTTTCGAACCAAAGAGCATCTGAAGTCGCAGCAGCGAGCCAAGCCGATGGAAGCCAAGCCCATGGGAGCAGGAGCGTCGTCGGACCCTTGGCTCAATGGTGATCCTTGGCAATCTTTCCGACCAACTCAACAACGTGCTCAAGGATCTGAAATAGCGGAATCGGCAAAGCAGAAGCTTGAGGAGGTGGAGAATAAGCTGAGGAGTGACATGAAGTCAGTGATTCGAAAGGAGCTTGAGGAACAGGCGGCATGTGCAGAAGATGCTACTATGCAAACCAATTGGGATGCAGATGTCAGGCTTTGCAGACTTGAATCGACGATTGGAGAGATCAAGGCTCAGAATAGCCGCTATGATCAGTGGTTTGAACACCAGGCCCAAGTCCAGACAGAGCTCAATGGTCGGGTTGAATATCTAGCTGAGGACCTGCGCAGTCAGAAGGAGCAGATGGCGGCGTTAGATCAAGCAGTGCATAAGCAAGGTTCGGATGCTCAGAGCTCCTTTGTTTGCCTGGC